TTTCAAACTGCAGTTCTGAATATGTTCAATTAAAAAAAAATACTAGACTCCAAAACATTCTTTTCTAGAACTCTGCTCATTTTTTAAACGTAGATCTTATTTTCACCAAAATGTAATTTAGACATTGGCCACTTGGAGGCACTTTAGCTCTTTTACAGGTACTCCCGTTTTACAAATGTCAGGTGCCTTTCAAAAAGGCAAGAATTTCCCTAAGAATATTACATTCGTGATTCCAACATTTTTAACTCCCCAACCCCTAAAATTCAAATGAACTATTTCTAATCCAGGAAACTGACATTACTAACTCATGATATAATCTTATTCTACTTGTCATCATAACTGTCTTCTGTCAGCTTTCTTATAAAAAGATCACAGCACTGTCCATTTTAGGCTAAGTCACAACTAGGGTGAGCATTAGAATCATGCCAAAGAATTTTCAAAATATGCATTTCTGAGCTCCACTCTATCCATTCAGATGCACTAAATCTCAAATGCCAGGAATGAGGCATTAGGTTATGAGTTCTTAAAAAAATCTTTGAGTGATCCTAATACACTCTTAGGTGAGAACAAAGCCCAGTATTTTCAACTTGCTTTGCAAATATATAGAGATACATATCTCTGTGGGGACTAAGTAAGATAGCATGTTGTGCCTGAGGTGGTCAGTTGTCCCCAGTGTCTATCTTCATCCTTCTCCATGTTTCTTCCTGGTCCACTGCATCTGGGAAGATAAACAGTACATTTCTCTGACCCCTTGGGAACAAGACCCCTGGATGTGAATTATGTTATGGCGACCAGAGGCAGTAGTTGAATGTGAACAAGAGGCATGATTTTTCAGCATCTAGCTGTCTCTGCTGGCAGCAAGAATTATGAAGAGGAGGTTTTTCTGCTGCAGAAAATGAGTCCAGTTTCTACATTTTTCAGTGTTGTGAGACTTGAGGCATTACAACAGTGACAACCACAGAGGTGGAACTTCCTAGTGAATCAGTTTTGTATTGCTTTGACAACCATCCAGAAGGTTCGCCCAAAAACCTACTCCTCCAGTCCTTCCTCTGATTGTAGGGACCTCATTACCTGTCTCAACCTACTTCCACTTTAAGTCTCAGAGTAGTTTCCATTTCTTACTCTAAACCCAAACACAGACATACAAAGTGCTTAACAGAGCTTCTGGTACTTAAAAATTGCTTTTAAAATATTATCGATTATTAATATTTATATTTGACCTTCATCATGTTGCTTAAGCACACTAAGCCTGAGTGCAAAATGGTGACCCGCTTCTGGAACTGCTGTGTAGATAAAAGATGACGTGTAAAAACAACTTAGCACAGTAAGTGCTCAATCAATTTCATCTATAGTTATTTTTTTATTTATTGCTATTGTTATTTTAGTTATTTTTATCAATGTATAAATCATTCTGATATTAGTCTTTTAGCCTAGTTTTAGGTTAAAAATCTTACACACTTTGCAACACTGAACAGGTATATGCTAATGTCTATGCTATTGACATGAAGTAGATTTCTAAATTTAGTAATATGTTACACAGGAGGCAGGCTAAACTTAAAAAAAATAATAATAAATTTCTCAAAATTGAATCATATGATTCTTGCCTGTGGATTTTTTTTTTGACTTTACAATTCATCCACTAGAGGGTAGACAAGTACAGTGAAAAATCAGTAAACTCATGGTTTGCTTTTTTGAATGTGGGTAGAAGCCATATTTTTCAAACAGGTTTCTCTGTTGCAGTAACCAATGAAGAGAATATAATAGAATATATATATATATATAGCATATATGCTATATATATATATATATATGCTAAATATCTAAAGACAAATTTCAGCTAAAATATCATGTGTTTATTTTAACTTCATGGTTTCAGAGAATTAATAAGCACAATTTTCGACCATGTACCTATGTACATTTTAAAGCAAAAAAAACCCAACAACACATGCATATATATATTTTTTAATTTAAAGAGAAGTAAATAGCTCATGAGTCATAGAAGCAGAAGCACACAGTGATATTCTAGTGAGAATACCATGAGCCTGGGGATACATAAAGTGGCCATTTTACCTATTAGGTGCTGTAGGCACAATGGTTGGGGTTTATGAATTTTTCAAGATACTAGGAAAAATATGTGAGACTTGTAAGAAAAATTAACTCCCAACCTTGAGATACAAACTGCTTTTTAATTTATACGTACATACATGTGCACAAGTTAACAAACCAAACCCAAAAAACAAAAATCCATTGGGATTTAGACTGAATAGCATTAATAAATTTTCTTAACATTTCCTTCTTTACAAAACTGAATCTTACAATTCATGTAATATTGTTTAGGTTTCATTTAATTCCAAAAGATATTTTATAATTTTCTACGTACAGTTCTTGCACATATTTAGAGTTAGGTATTTGTATTTTTATACACATTTAAGTAGTATCTTGTTCTTAAATTTTAATTTCTGTTACTGGTATACTAGAAAATAAAGTAGTGACAGCAACATGCTAGCCTTATTCCTGATGTAAATGGAGAAGTTTTTAATCTTTCACTATTACATATAATATTTGCTAAGGGTTTAACAATTTTATTAATCTTTTTAATATAGTGACTTAGACTTCATTAATCCCTTGTGTGTTTTTTCTATTCAATTAATTTCTTTCTGCTATTCTATCATTTTCTTCCTCTTACATTCTTTGGATTTAATTTGTTGGATTTTTTTTTCTAATTCTATCATTGAAATGAAGGCATCATTGATTTTTAGACTTTTTCAATACATGTATATAGGACTTTCTTTCTAAAATTTTTTTTGACATTTTATTTTTAAGTAATAGCTGTACCCAATATGGGGCTTGAACTCATTACCTCAACATCAAGAGTTGCATGCTATACCAACTGAACCAGCCAGGCTCCCCCATATAGGACTTTCAATAGAAATTTCCGATAAGTATGGAAAGTGAGTTGGAAATAATCACTTTTAATTATTCAAACTGATTTCCCCATCATCTTTCTTTTTTTTTACATTTGTTTTTATTTAAGTTCAATTTGCCAACATATAGTATAACACCCAGTGCTCATCCCATCAAGTCCCCTCCACAGTGCCCATCACCCAGTTACCCCATCTCCCTGCCCACATCCCCTTCTGTGACCCTTTATTTGTTTCCCAGAGTTAGGAGTCTCTCATGGTTTGTCTCCCTCTTTAATTTTTTCCACACAGTTCCCTTCCTTTCCCTTATAATCCCTTTCACTATCTTCTTTCTGATTAAATTCTTTAGTAATTTTTAATAATATTGTGTAGATTAAAATCATTCTTCTAAACCCATAGATCTTGCCTTTCTTAATCCTCCATGTCTATTCTCTTCTTTAGTGTGTGATATTCCATCTAAAAACACCCGATACACTTACTACAATTCTGGCTTTGGAATACTCCATAGCGTGGTCATGTCTGGAGTCAACCCCACACTCCACAGTAAACAGAACACTTGATCCCCTATTAGCTTCTGAAATCCCATCATGTCTATGAAACCTTTCCTCATAATTGTGGTTTTTGTTACAGGGGCTTGTTTTGTATTTTCTGTGTCATACTTTAGGGAAGATCAGGGTTCTGAATATTTTAAAGAAATCAATTCCTCCTTGGTTATACAGGTTTATACTGTAATGTGGACCATGATTTCAATTTACAATAATGTCAATTTTGCTTTAACTTGGGGGCTGCATTATTTGGACCCTGTTGAATAGTGAGATGAATTTTCTATTATTTCTAACTACCTTACCATAGATGGTAAAACCAGATGAAGTAAACTAGTAACTCTCAAACAAAATGGTAGATATGTTATTTGGAGTGTGGCAGTTCCACAGCCAACTTTTTGGCTCATGAAACATTAACTTGGTTTTGTTTCACGGTTATAGCCTGGCACTGACCTGACCAGTCTTGTTGAAAATACATGCTTAAGATCACGGTGCAGACAGGATGTGAGAGGGTTGAATGAGTCAGCACACACCCACAAACTCCTTTAAGAAAAATAACTACTAGCATTTTGAGCTGGTATTAATCATCTTAGTAGATGGAAAGCATATAAAAAGCGACTCCTTTCAGATGCCAGGCAGAGAGCAGGTTACCAAAGAACTGCAATGGCCAAAACTTTTGACAGAATAATTTAAGGGGAAAGCACTTAGTACAACTCTAAATAAGGAGAATTATCCATAGCTGGGAGTTTCTGGAAGCCATAATTCCTTGGGAACAACCCAAATCTTCAGTTTCAGTGCAATTTATTGAAGTATCTTTCTCCAAATCTTAACTATTGTTAAAAAAAAATCACCTTTTTCATCACTCCTAAGGAAGATGAAAATCATCATCCCATGATTATCCAACATTTTCTGGAGTAAACTGGTCATCATATATTCCTTGAGGGCAAGGATTGCCCCTGGCCAAGTTAGAGGCATATTAACACATACACAGACCGTCCCTGACTTACCATGGTTTTCTACTTAATAATGGTACAAAGGTGATATGCGTTCAGTAGAAACCATACTTAAAATTTAGAATTTTGGGGATCCCTGGGTGGCGCAGCGGTTTAGCGCCTGCCTTTGGCCCAGGGCGCGATCCTGGAGACGCAGGATCGAATCCCACGTCGGGCTCCCGGTGCATGGAGCCTGCTTCACCCTCTGCCTATGTCTCTGCCTCTCTCTCTCTCTCACTATGTGCCTATCATAAATAAATAAAAACAAAAAATTAGAAAAAAATCATGTTATAAAAAAAAAAAAAAAAAAAAAAAAATTTAGAATTTTGATCTTTTCCCAGGCTCATAATATGTGGTAGATACTCTCTCTTGATGCTGGGCAGCAGCACCAACCCCTCTCAGCTACACAATCACGAGGGTCAACAAACAATACACTTACAACCAGTCTGCACCCATACAATTCTGTTTTTCACTTTCAGTACAGGATTCAATCAATTAAATGGGATATTCAACACATTATTTTAAAATAGTTTTTGTGGTTCCTTCCTCTTGCAGCAAGATGGCGGGGGGTGAGGTTGGAGTGACTCTCGGACAGCCACATCTTTCCCGCCAGGATCTCGCCACCTTGGATGTTACCAACTTGACCCCACTGTCTCAGGAAGTTATCAGCAGACAAGCCACAATTAACATAGGTACAATTGGTCATGTCGCTCATGGAAAATCTACAGTTGTAAAAGCTATATCTGGAGTTCACACTGTCAGATTCAAAAATGAACTGGAAAGAAATATTACAATTAAGCTTGGATATGCTAATGCCAAGATTTATAAACTTGATGATGCAAGTTGTCCTCGGCCAGAATGCTATAGATCCTGTGGAAGTAGTACACCTGATGAGTTTCCTACAGATATTCCAGGGACTAAAGGGAACTTCAAACTAGTCAGACATGTTTCCTTTGTTGACTGTCCTTGCCATGATATTTTGATGGCTACTATGCTGAATGGTGCAGCAGTAATGGATGCAGCTCTTCTACTGATAGCTGGCAATGAATCCTGTCCTCAACCTCAGACTTCTGAACATCTGGCTGCCATTGAAATAATGAAACTGAAACATATTTTGATTCTGCAAAATAAAATTATTTGGTAAAAGAGAGTCAGGCTAAAGAACAGTATGAACAGATACTTGCATTTGTACAAGGTACAGTAGCAGAAGGAGCACCTATTATTCCAATTTCTGCTCAGCTGAAATATAATATTGAAGTTGTCTGTGAGTATATTGTAAAGAAAATTCCAGTACCTCTAAGAGACTTTACTTCAGAACCCCGCCCTATTGTTATTAGGTCTTTTGATGTCAACAAACCTGGGTGTGAGGTTGATGACCTTAAAGGTGGTATAGCTGGTGGCAGTATTTTAAAGGGAGTATTAAAGGTGGGCCAAGAAATAGAAGTCAGACCTGGTATTGTTTCCAAAGATAGTGATGGAAAGCTCATGTGTAAACCAATCTTTTCCAAAATTGTATCACTTTTTGCAGAACAAAAATGATCTTCGGTATGCTGCTCCAGGGGGTCTTATTGGAGTTGGAACACAAATTGACCCCACCTTGTGCCGGGCTGACAGAATGGTAGGACAGGTGCTTGGTGCAGTTGGAGCTTTACCAGAGATCCTCACAGAATTGGAAATATCCTATTTCCTACTTAGATGGCTTCTAGGTGTATGCAAAGAAGGCAACAAAAAAGCAGCAAAGGTCCAAAAGCTCTCTAAAAATGAAGTGCTTATGGTGAACATTGGTTCCCTGTCAACAGTTAGTGCAGTCAAGGCTGATTTGGGTAAAATAGTTCTCACTAATCCTGTGTGCACAGAAGTGGGAGAAAAAATTGCCCTTAGCTGAAGAGTTGAGAAACACTGGCGTTTAATTGGTTGGGGTCAAATAAGAAGAGGAGTAACTATTAAGCCAACAGTTGAAGATGATTGAAGAATATTATTTACATAATACGTCTGGATGAAGTTATAGTTTCTGTTAACAACCTGGGGGTATAGGGATCCCTGGGTGGCGCAGCGGTTTGGCGCCTGCCTTTGGCCCAGGGCGCGATCTTGGAGACCCGGGATCGAATCCCACATCGGGCTTCCGGTGCATGGAGCCTGCTTCTCCCTCTGCCTGTGTCTCTGCCTCTCTCTCTCTGTGACTATCATAAATAAATAAAAATTAAAAAAAAAACATTGTTAAAAAAAAAACAACCTGGGGGTATAATTTCAAAGCAATACTGGGGAATATATTTCACAGTTCATTACCTTAGTAGAAGCTGTAAGGTTATTCTCATCTCCTTGCTATGAAGATTTAACTTCAAAATAATAGAATCTACAATAGTTGTCAAATTGGCATATTAATGGGTTCAATCCAACATTTTAGCAGAAACTGATTATTGCTAAATGGTGTCAAATTTATACATCACTTCATGTTTGAAATGACACACCTGTTAAAACCAGCCTTTGCTAAGGCATATATGTACCACACTCAACCTGTTTCAAATAAAGTTTTCCTTATTACTTTAAAAAAAAAAAATAAAAATAAAATAAAATAAATAAAATAAAATAAAATAATAAAATAAAATAAAATAAAATAAAATAAAATAAGTTTTTGTGTTAGTTGGTCTTGCCCACTATAAACTAATGGAAGTGTCTGGGCTTGTTTAAGTTAGGCTAAGCTATGATGTTCAGTAGATTGGGTATATTAAATGCATTTTCAACTTACAATGGGTTTATTGAGGTGTAATCTTATGGTAAATCAAAGAAAATCTGTGTAATAAATATGTATTGAATTATGTATTTCCTTTTTAAGATTTTATTTATTTATTCATGACAGAGAGAGAGAGGCAGAGACACAGGCAGAGGCAGGATCCCCACGGGGAGTCCAATGTGGTACTCAATCCCAGGATCCTGGGATCACAACCTGAGCCAAAGGGAGATGCTCAACCACTGATCCACTCTGGCACCCCTGAATTATATATTTCATAACAAAGTAACTTGCACTATTTCATGAATGCTTAAAAAATAAAAGTGAAGTATTTACAAGAAAAATTTTTAAAATGGTGATAAAGGTTAGAACCATCTTAAAAGACTACTTATGCTATGTGAGACTATCACTCAAGGAAAAAAAAATATTGGAGCTCCTGGTTGACTCAGTTGGTTAAGCATCCAACTCTTGATTTCGGCTCAGGTCATGATCTCAGGGTCTTGAGATCAAGCCCCATGTTGGGCTCTTTGCTCAGCAAGGACTCTGCTTGAGATTCTCTCCCTTTCCTTATCCTTCTCCCTCTGCCCCTATTCTCTCTCTCTCTGCCTCTCTGTCTCTAAAATAAATAAATAAATCATTAAAAACATATTGGCACATGGTTACCTATAGCAGTTATTTTCTATAATGAGATCACATTACATTAATGAATTTCTTAACGATGATTATAAAGCAAACATTTCCAAAGAAACATTCACCACAAACTCAGAATGATATAACCATGAGGCTATTTACAACAGCTATTTGATATGTATCAAGTAATTAAAAGAAGTTGTAAAACAGAAATATGTGAACCTCAAATGTTAACAGAAATTTTATTTTCCTTCTTTTTATTTTGAAAATTTTGAAATCTATAGAAAAGTAAAAACAGTAAAAGAAACTCTCATATGCCCTTTGTCTGGATTCCTCAATGCTAACTTTTTGCTGTATTTGTTTCTCTTATGATATCGGGGTGTGTGTGTGTGTGTGTGTGTGTGTGTGTGTGTGTGTGTATGCTGGACCACCTGAGAATTACTTGCAGTTATCATAACATTTCATACCTAAACACTTTAGTGCAGATCTCGTAAGAACAAAGGCCTTCTCCTATATAACAATACAATTATTTCACTCTGGAATTATAACACTAAAATAATGTCATTATCTAATATACTGTCTAGTTTCAAATTTTCCCAGTTATCAATGCTTATTTGTCATTTATTTTTCCTCTCGAGGTTTACAATCAGTTGTAACGTTGTAGTTAATTGTCATAACTCTTTAATCCAAAATAGTTCCCTAGACATTTTTGTTGTTCATGACATTGAGAGTTTTTTAAGGTCCAGACCAGTTGTTTTCCAGAATGTTCTACTATTTGGATTTTTCAAAGGACTAGATTCAGTTTAAACATTCTGAAAATGATGCTACTATACAGATGAAATTGTGTCTTCGGTGCATCAATAATTGATAACAGTTTCTCCCAACGTACTTTTGCGCCCTACAGTCAAATTCTACAGTTTCTCCCAACGTACTTTTGTGCCCTACAGTCAATTCTATTCATCTCTGGAACCAACCGGGGTGGGGGTTATTTTCCCCTGGCCTCTGCTAACACTGTCTTCCTTTATGGAAAATGTTCACTGTTCTTTTCCAACTACCCAAGGTTTTTATTTGTTCATTGCTCAAATATCATCACCACAAAAACTTTTCTATACTTCTCCAGCCTTAATTTATATATATATTCAAAATACTTATAGTTTTCTAAAATTCACTCAGTTTTCAGTGTTTTATCATAATGAATTACTTTATAGGTCCCCTTTTATTAATAAGAATCTTTTTTAGAGAGAGAGAGGAAAAGAATGGTGGAGAGGGGCAGAGGGAGACAGAATCTTAAACAGGCTCCATGCTTGGCACAGGGCCTGACCCAAGGCTCAATGACCCTGAGATAATGGCCTAAGCCAAAATCATCAGATGCTTAACTGACCGAGCCACCTAGATGCCCCTATTAATATTTATCTCACTGCAGTCATATACGTTGTAATCCTGCTAGATTGCTACTCCATAATAACAGCAAGCATGAACCTTGAATTCTCCACATCTGGATTTTATATCCCACAGAGCCTATCAGAATCCAGAGTAATTAATAAATAGTAATTTTGTGGTCCTTGGGTGAATGAGTGAATTAAAATTACCTTAGGAAAAATCCACCCTGCAATTAACTGCTCACTGTTTTTGAAGAACTTATCCAAGAAAACAGTGTTTTCAATTTACCCCCAGAGGATCATATAAATTCCCAGGGATTTTTCTCTACCTTTATATATAACTATACTTTTAAAAAAGTTTACATTCTCAAGGGAAATTTTCAGAAATTAAGAGTAAAGAAAAATCCAACTGAAAAAGGGCCACCTAGGGATCCCTGGGTGGCGCAGCGGTTTGGCGCCTGCCTTTGGCCCAGGGCGCGATCCTGGAGACCCGGGATCGAATCCCACGTCAGGCTCCCGGTGCATGGAGCCTGCTTCTCCCTCTGCCTGTGTCTCTGCCTCTCTCTTTCTCTGTATGACTATCGTAAATTAAAAAAAAAAAAAAAGAAAAAAAAAAGAAAAAGGGCCACCTTTTACTTGAAAATAGTATTTTCTGTTTTTTTTAAATAGATCAGCTGACTTGAAAAAAAAATCATAGTAAAATAATGAAAAATGGAGGCAACACAGAATATCATATAAGCTACCTCAAGTAACTGTAGTGTTTATTTTTTTATTACTTTGTACAAAAAGTTCCAGAAAACTCAAGCCTTCATAGCTCCACATCTTACACTGTTTGCCTTTATTCTTACCTCTGTTTTAGTGTAGAACATATTTTCCAGTGGTAAATACTTCTTCTTTATGTCTTGAGACTCATTAATGTCTAACATCAATGTACGTCATCACAGATGAGAAAATGCAGAAGGCTCTGGTTTTAGGCCTTGCTCTGTCATGGTTTCTTGTTGCTAGGAATACACAGAAACACTGCTGGCTCCTGCAGATTCTCCTGTTCTTGTGTTAACTAAATATGGATGAATTTCCTTAAGAGAAAAATATTACCTGGGTTGCCTGCATGGCTCAGTGGTTGAGCAACTGCCTTTGGCTCAGGTGATGATCCCGGGGTCCTGGGATGGAGTCCCACATTGGGCTCCCTGCAAGGAGCCTGATTCTCCCTATGTCTGTGTCTCTGCCTCTCTCTCTCTCTCTCTGTGTCTCTCGTGAATAAATAAATAAAATCTTTTACAAAAGAGAGAGAAATATTACCAATAAGTGTTTATTTTTAAAAATTATCACCTGATTGTCAAGTTACTAAAAGATTAACTGAATCAAATTATAAAACAGATGATCTTCAAACTTTGGCTCTGACAAGCTATAGATGTTTATCAAAACCAAACATAATCCTGGAGCATGGTTTATGTCAAGAAACCAACTGCTGATTGAACCTGTCATTAAGTGGATTAACCCACACTTGTGGCAGTAACAAGTCTTATGGCTTTGACACCTTTTCAGGCTCACTGAGGTTGGGAGATATTCTGTGGTCTAGTAAAATCAGGAAACATTAAGAAATACACCATTAAGTTAATTTCAAGAATACAGAACTTTTCAGAGACTGTATTTAATGTTATTTTGAATTGTGAACCTACAAAAAGGGAATAAAGGCTACTTCTAAAAGTTAATTGGAGTAATTTATGATGACTACAGAAGACATAGATCAAAACACAAGTGTTGGGCAGCTCGGGTGGCTCAGCGGTTTAGCGCCTGCCTTCACCCCAGGGTGTGATCCTGGAGACCCGGGATCGAGTCCCATGTTGGGCTCCCTGCATGGAGCCTGCTTCTCCCTCTGCCTGTGTCTCTGCCTCTCTCTCTCTCTCTATCTCTCTCTCTCTCTTAATCTCTCTGTGTGTGTGTGTGTGTTTCTCGTGAATAAATTAATAAAATCTTAAAAAAAAAAACCACAAGTGTATTTGAATTTGAGAGTCAGTGTCATCATAACGTGGACTGTTACCTGTCAGTATTTAGCTGTGAGAACTCAGCAAGGCCTTGGGCTAAGGGCTTTTGTCCTCATGCCTCAGTTTCCAATTTGTAAAACAGAGGTGAAAAATAAGGTTCTTGGGGTATCTGGATGGCTCAGTCAGTCTTCCTTTGGCACAGATCATGATTTCTGGCTCTTGGGAAGAAGCCCCAAATCCAGCCCCCTGCTCAGCATGCAGCCTGCTTTTCTCTCTACTCCCTGCTCTTGCTTTCTCTCA